TCTCGGCTGCCTCTTGGATCAAGTGGTTATCTCACCCTCGCTCTTTAGGTTCGCAGTCGCTCTTTAGGGATTTGAATATCCCCCATAATTATTTGAATTCATTTTCGGTGTTCTTCGAGAGTCTAGGCTCACGCGCAATGACAATGAGCCTCGAGAGTGACGTGAAATCCTTTGTGTCTTAGGACCGCGCCCTCGTCCGACTTCCTCCTTCCGCCAGGTATGCGCGGCGTCTCCTTTTCAGACGGAAAGCTGCTTCAGCTCAGGTGGACTCACTGTCATTGCTCGTCCACGCCCTGCTCTTCCACGACACGCGTCGCGTAAGCCATCCCCCACCCACCCCACCACGGAAATCTACTTCAGCTCTGGTGAGCTCACTGTCATTGCTCGTCCACGCCTTGCTCTTCCACGACACGCGTCGCGTTAGCCATCCCACCACCCATGCTCCAAGAGAAAATCGGTACCACGAATGTACTGGTAACACACACTTGGGATCCAAGAACAATCGACCTGGTTCGCAGGTGGACGACCCGCCGGTACGTAGTTCGAACGCTGTGGTGCGTCTGCGACGAACCGACCAGCAAGCACTGCACCATGGTAGAAGGCGGCGTTCGGGAGTTGTGCCGTAAAGGAACCGGATTTGATTCGAGTGCGAAACGTTTTCCACTGAATTTGGACTTTCTGCAAGTTGGGTCGAGTTGAGAGTAGTGATAGATAATTACGAGCAACATTCTTTCAGAGTAAGTTACTGCCCAGTAAATTACCAATCCTTCCTGGTAAGTTGCTGATAATCGGGAAGAATCCCGCCGTATTCCGGCAAGTTACTTCGAAGTCCCTTCTTGTTTGGCGATAGGATTAAGAGTAATCTATTCGGGCTTGGAGATCGTCATCTTACTATCAATTCGGCTAATGAATGATCCCGCTTATGGGCTCATTTTTTTTTTGCGATTCGGAACTTTACCGCCCTCTTCGGAAGCCTCCGCGACGGGGGGGTACGGGGGGTCTCCCCCCGGCGCCCGGAGGAGATTAGGGTCTGTACCGACCCGCCTGTGAGGGTCAAAGGTTGGTCTTCATATGTATTAATACACAGCGGAGAATCGGCGATCCGACTGTCGCCGAACCCGGACACTGTGTACATATATGAAGCGTGATACTGATTGCCCATAACCATAGATAATACGCAGCTGCACATGCGATCGCCAAAAGGAGATTGCCGGTCTCCTATGGCCGGTCGCGTGTGTCGCATTCTCCGCTGTGTTATATACCAAACATTTCATAGATTCTCATCAACCACCAACTCTAACAATCCCTGAAAACAAGGAGCTCGACACCCAACATCCGCACCGCTAAGAAGGCGTCGGTCAAGTGTGGTAATCAGCATCTACCCGAGTCAACCGCACGTCCAGGAAGTCGTTGGTCAATGCAATCGGTCGTTACGGATTGAAGGTAGACAGGTTCGAGCCCCGGAGGCAGTACAAACAAAATATCAATTAAATCCGAACAGAATCAAGATTCAGGCCGACGCAGTGGCGAAACTCGGGTTCGAGCCGGGGGGATTTTATTTTTGGTCCCGACTTACGATATTTTAGAAGAAAAAAGTGCTCAGCGACATTCATGGCCGCGGCCGCGCGTCATGCGCCGCCAAAACTACGTCGCCAAGCTACATGCAAAGTCGCAAACGCCCTTCGTCCCTCACTTCACTGGCCGCGCCACATCGCCATGCGCCGCGACGTCGCCAGCGTTTCTTAAAAAGCCCTTCGCCCCTCAAAAAACTGGCCGCACTGCGCCCGTGCGTGATTAGGGTCTGTACCACCCTCCTCGGGATCGAAGCGACGGGGAGGTACGGGGGGTCTCCCCCTGCGCCCGGAGGAGAATAGGGTCTGCACCGCCTCAAGCGGCGTAGCCGCCGCAGGCGGCGTAGCCGCAGTAGGCTGCGCAGCGTCGAAGCTTCCGCCTAAGGCGGAGTAGCCGCCTAAGGCGGCGTAGCCGCCGCACACGGCGCAGCCGCCTCATGCGGCGTGGCCGTCGCAGGCTGCTTAACCACCGCAGGCGGCGCAGCCGCCTCAGGCGGCGTAGCCGCTCAGGCGACTTAACCTCCGCATGCGGCGCAGCCACCTCAGGCGGCGTTGTTACGCTGCGTCCCGAGGGACCCAGGACAGCGTAGTGCAATATAAGTTACTTTGTTAGTGTTAATTGAGGACCCGAAGGGTCCTTGCCGTTTATTCAACGTCAGTTTACGGCAAGGGCCCTTCGGGTCCTTTGATTGAAGGATTACCAGGGGCAATTATGTCTGTCTGTTTGTCCGTCTGTCCGTCT